CCACAACAATTTTAGCAACGACCACAACAGCACCAACAACAGCAGCTTACTACAACTTCAGCTACTACAACAGCATCCCCAACAACTTTAGCAACAACAGCAGCAGAACCAACAACCACAACTGCAGCCACTAAAACAGCGAATCCAACAACGACAGCAGCACCAACAACTGCAGCGACCACAACAGCACCAACAACAGCCGCAACTACAACTGCAGCACCACCAACAGCAGCACGAACAACAGCCGCAACTACAACTTCAGCGACTACAACAGCAACCCCAACAACTTTAGCAACGACGACAGCAGCACCAACAAGAGCCGCAACTACAACTGCAGCGACTACAACAGCAGCCCCAATAACTTCAGCAACGACGACAGCAGCACCAACAGCTGCTGCAACTACAACAGCAGCCCCAACAACTTTAGCACCAACAAAAGCCGCACCAACAACTGATTTACCTACAACTGCAGCTCTTACAACCACAGCACAAACAACAGCTGCAACTACAACTGTGGCGACTACAACAGCTGCCCCAACAACTTTAGCAACGACGACAGCAGCACCAACAACAACCGTTACAACAAATGCTGTACCTACAACTGCAGCTCTTACAACGGCAGCAACGACGACATTAGCACCAACAACCGCCGCAACAACAACTGCTGTACCTACAACTGCAGTTCTTACGACAGCACCAACAACAGCCGCAACTACAACTGCAGCGACTACAACAGCAAACCCAACAACTTTAGCAACGACGACAGCAGCACCAACAACAGCCGTTACAACAACTGCTGTACCTACAACTGCAGCTCTCACATCGGCAGCACAGACAACAGCCGCAACTATAACTGCAGCGAGTACAACAGCGAACCCAACAACTGTAGCAACGACGACAGCGCTGCACCTACAACTGCAGCACCAACAACAGTTCCGGCTACAACTGCAGCACCTACAACTGCAGCACCCACAACAGCAGGACCCACAACAGCTCCACCTACAAATGCAGCACCTACAACAGCAGCACCAACAACAGCTGCACCTACAACTGCAGCACCCACAACAGCTCCAGCTACAACTGCAACACCTACAACTGCAGCACCCACAACGGCTGCACCTACAACTCCAGCACCCACAACAGCTGCACCTACAACTGCAGCACTCACAACGGCTGCATCTACAACAGCTGCACCAACAACATCTGCACCTCTAACTGCAGCACCTACAACAGCAGCGCCCACAACAGCTCCACCTACAACTGCAGCACCCACAACAGCTCCAGCTACAACGGCAGCACTAACAACGGCTGCACCTACAACTGAAGCACCCACAACAGCTGCACCTACAACTGCAGCACCCACAACAGCTGCACCGACAACTGCAGCATCTACAACTGCTGCGGCAACAGCAACCCCAACAACTTTGGCTGCGACGACAGTAGCAATAAAAACAGCTGCTGCTACAACTGCAGCGACTACAACATTGGGAGCAACAACCTCATTAACCACTTCGGCAACTACAACAGACGCAACTACAACTGCAGTGACTAAAACTGCAACACCTACAACTATAGCTTTACCAACAGTTACCACACCTACAACTTTAGAAGTCACAACAAGATATGTGACTTTCAGATCCCTTCAATCCAACTTTATTTCTGATTTGTTGAATCCATCATCTCAAGCTTTTGTAAAGCGCTCTACAATGATCACGGAACAGGTAAGTTTCTCCTTTGAATCTGGTTCAACTACTGAATTATTGTATCAAAGCCCTCAATACCTCAACCTAAGGACTGAAAACTTACTAGAGAGTATACATACTTAAAAGATATTACATATTCAAATTTCTTACGAAAAAATGAAGGAAGAAAACTTTTAGGGTAATAAATTAAAACGATAAAAACTGTTTACATATACACACAGTTCAATATTAAAATGCAAATGAAATCTTGAAACAAATTTTTGCATTTACTAGTGAACGTGGTTGAAACACATTACTGAATTACATGAAGAGGATCCTTTCCCTACTTAGGCATGATGGGCTCCCTCTATGCAAACAAAAACAATGTGATCCTAGTTTCAGAAAAAACTGTAGTTGCAAACATAGTTTGCTGTTCACTAATTTCTAGTAAAACATTTCAAACAACACCCATGTCGTTTAATTACAAATTCATTTCTGTTTCTGCAGCTTCATCCCATGTTCTTAAGGATATTCTTTTCATACAAGTCCATTAGAGTGGTGTCATTCAGGTATTGTGTTGAGAGATACAGTACTATAATTGTTACAATTAAATAATAGTGGTAATCTAATACTAATACAAAATGAATCTTTTATTTCTGCTTCTGCAGGCAAGGATCAGTCGTCAACAACATTGAGCTTTCCTTTAATTTGACATTTGTTCCTCAAAACAGATTAAAGAGATTAAAAAAGAGATTGAGATTAAAGCACTGTTGACTGAAGCATCTTCAAACGTTACTGGCTTCGACATTGAAACCGCCTCAATCATTGTGAACACCACATGTAAGTAATGAGTAGAACATGATGAAAAATGTCTAAAGTTTCACAAATGTTAGTCAAACTAATGTTTGTTTTTTTAATGCAGCACCTACAGCAGCCGCAACTACGGCTGCAGCACCAACAACAGCTGCTTCTATAACTAAACCACCTACAGTGGTAGGTGTAACTGCAACAACAGCTGCTCCTATAACTAAAGCGCCTACAGTGGTAGGTGTAACAGCAACAACAACCACAGCTGCTCCTATAACTAAAGCGCCTACAGTGGTAGGTGTAACTGCAACAACAACAGCTGCTCCTATAACTAAACCACCTACAGTGGTAGGTGTGACGGCAACAACAACAGCGGTTACCTCTTCAGCGGTTCCAAGTGGAGTAAGCCAGAAGATCATTGTCATCACTGCATCATGCCTGATAGTGTTGTCATGGCTACTATAAAGCAAACAATATCATCTGTGATGATTTTTCCATTTGAATTTCTATCAATAAGTAAATGTCATCACTAGTAATAAACATGCCTTTGTTTTTAGCAAAGATCTAAGATCATTCAAGGGAATGTATTAAGCACAGATGATTAGGTATGTCTGTCTAACATGTTCATGAATGGGAATGTCCAGTATCATGGACCGGATGAAATGACAAAGCCAATTTTAAGCACCAGGTTCATTTCAGTCTTTATTTAAAAAAACATAATCGTAAACCAGGGGATGTCGGAAAATGTTTGCACAATTAATAATGAAATGATTTCGCTTCTTCACAAAATAAATAAAACTTAAAATAAAACAAAATAAATAAAACTTATCACAGTAGTATAAGAGTATAACTGAACAATTACTTTTAAATGAAGTTATATCAAGGGTAAGGGTAAGCATGTATGTCAAAGTAATCCACGGACAACTTCTTCCTCTATCACTGTATTCAATGAAAATGTGGGTTGTTTGTACAATTTCTTTCAAATACGTTATAACAATCAAAATACACTTGTCTTGATGAATTGAAATTGTCTCTTGTGTTATGTTTCATTCATGATGTTTTAATTGAAAATGTATCAAGGCAGGTTAAGGGATCTTAAAGGCAGAAGTGGTATTATTTAGAAACTACCAGTAGTCCCCCTATATTCATAAAATCATCCAACCGGTAAATCCAACACAAGGTTGTAATCCCTTTTAGAACGAAAGTAGCAATAGCTCTAAAAACAAATACCATGAAGAAAAAACAGGACCATCAGCATGATTAATGCCTATTTCAAATGAGTTATTCCTAATGTTTTTTGTCCGTACCACGAGGTTGGATTCGTTTCAAAGTCAGAAAACATCTTGCAGCTTTGACAGAATTGCTTTAGTTCAGTTTCCAGAGTTGTATTCAGAAGCAACCAGCCCACCATGGAAAGCCCAAGATTTGGATCTACTGCGATTTGTGTTCCTCTACACTATGACTTTTGCTCATCCGATTTGTTTCTAAGTTTAAAAGTAGAGGTGTAGTCATGTACTTGCCATTAGAAAAAATGCATGTATATCACAACACATCATCGGATCAGTGGGTAGACTTGCCTCCTCACCGATATGCAAATCAAACCCTTATGCAGTATCGGAGGTATTTCCGTTACTCCCACACGCCTTCCTCAGTGATTTAGTAGTAGTGTTTTGGTTGTCGAGGAACACTGTGTCCGTATAAACATCATGATGAATCTCGGCTCCTAAAGGTAAATACGTCTACGGCTAATGTCTTATTGTCAGTACTTGTAAATGTGTGTGAGTCCTTCTCTAAAAAAGTTCCAATATAATTCTGAGATGACCTGGTATCCATATCTTGCCTCTTCTCATTCCATTACCACACGTTTTTTTGTCACTGTTTGTCATTCTGGAGGAACTTCTTTTGACATGCACATAGAATGCCAGTAATGCCTGACAAAGGAAGGTAGGGCGTGTGCTTTTATACTGAGTCAAGAGACTGACAGTTGATAATCTATCTCTACGTCATTCGGTTTTGTTCGACTCTATATTTTTTTTCAAAAGGAAAACATCATCGTGTGAATCATGTTAATGGGATTTTTTTCCATTTAAATACAGAGGCGTTTCATGAAATGTCACATTAGGTGAATGGTTTGTAATATAGCAGCTATGACCTGGACTGAATTAAGGCACTAACATCGTTAAACACATCAGAATTAGATTGATCTTAAGTAAGTATATTAATAGGTAATTATACAACAAAGGACGGTCCATAGAGGAAGAGGAGGTGGCTCCTTGTCTTTTTTGAGACCTTAGATCATGGTTGTATTATGAATTTGAGTTATTTGTTCAAATATACATATTCTATCAGTTTGATGATTTGATCAGGATGAATTTGAATCTTTTGTTGCGGAATTTCAGTAACCTTCAGACTTGGAGCAAATGCTGTGAGCTACCTAAAATGTAGAAGCTCAGTGACTCATTATGGGCAAGTTTCAATCATAGCAAAATCTTAAATTTGTCTCATACTTTGTTAAATCCCTGAATCCATTTTATGCCATTCATCCTAGTAGGAAGGCTGTTAATTCAAATTATATTGTTAAGAATGATTCTATAAACTGCTGGGAAGTACTGATGTAGTAAAAAATAACCTTACAGGGTATCCTTCCAACTAGTTTTCCATTGTATTTTAGTTTGGCCAGTATGATCATGAAATTAAAGTTAATTGTGTAGTCTTAAAAAGGTCTAAAAATGTTTACATTTAACATGGTGATCCTTAAACTAGACTAACAATAGGATTGTTTATTGTAGTACTGTTGTAGGGGGGACGGATTTAGAGTAGTGATGGCATGATCATTTTACCGACTCGGTTCTTTGAATCTTGTTCAGCAAAATGAACTAATCTTTTTTCGAGTCATTCGTTCATTTCATTCCTTACTAAACCTAGCCACGCGAAAGTGAACGAGGTAAACAAATCCTTTCTGTTTCCTCTTCTGAGCGCAGGTCACGTGAAAAATGATCCTAAGATCCGTATCCGAAGACCGAATCGAAGACGAATCATTGATCTACTCGTACTCACCGAATAGATCAATGATTCGTTCATCGTTCATAACAATAGAGGTTTTCCTAAAGGTAAAACCGGTAAATCTATACATCGTAACACAAACGAGGTCCGTTAGAACCGAACGTGATAATTCACGTTGGTAGTACACCACTTGGAATCCAATATTAAATCGTAACGAAGACGAACTTCCTACCAAACCGGTGGCTTAGCTAAGTTAGCTGAATGCTAGCTGGGCTAGAAACCCATCGAGACAGCTCACCTTTTACAAAAAGAATGTCAGTGTAAAAGCTGAATGGTCGTCCAAAGAAGAAAAAAAGAAGATATACGATGGAATTGAGCTCAAAAAATCATCTTTAAACCAATACGGTTGGATGGTATTTTCGTTTGAAAACACGACGGCTCAGACGGCGATGGCAACCTGCTAGCGCAGAGAAAGAATGCTGACTGCTTATCGCTACCAGTGCTGCTGAGCCTATGCAGGTCACGTGAAGTTCAGCCTGTAGCCGGCCGTCCAGACAAGTGAGTACTCCGCTCGTACCGCCGGACCCGGGTCACGTTGATCTCACTGACAATGAGCTCGCTCTGGTTACCACTGACGGCCAGAACCTTGCAATTAAAGGTCCGCCAATAAACATGCAAACTGGGATAAAATCACCGCTGCCCAGGTCCAAAGCCGGCCTCCATGCGGTGCTCGCATGTCGGAACCTTTGGGTTCGTGCACTCAGTGGACTTTCCAGGATGGGTCGTTGTCAACACGAAACGCCCATTATGTAGTGTGATGGCCAGTATATAGCCCCGTCCCGTCCACACAACACTGACCTCTCCGGGGCATAGCCGGTCCCCTGTGTTAAAAATGGGCAGCGGCGGTACTGATCCATTTACGTTGCAAAAAAGCTTTGTTATAAAGCGGTGAAGTCCACAGTCTGGTAGCGAGGTTGTTATTATGTGTTGTATGTAAGGGTTCGCTTGATGCTAGCGTGGATGGACGGGGACGTTAGCCTGATGCTAGCGTGGCTCAGTGCTGAGCCTATGCAGGTTACGTGAAAAATGATCTAAAGATCTGTAATCCGGCAAATGAACGAATCGTTCACCTCCCGACCGTGTCTTCGGGTCAATGTTTCGTTCATCTACCAACCGAGCCTTCGGGTCAATGATTCGTTCATTGTTCATCGTTCATTTTTCACGTGACCTGCATAGGCTCAGCACTGGTACCACTTGGTTGGCAGAAGGATCATTTCCCACGTGACCTGCATTCAACGAATCATTTCTGTTTCCTTGGCTGAGCCTATGCAAGTCCCGATGCGTGGCCACGAGAAAATGAACTAATCTTTTTATGAGAGGACTCGTTACTCTCGAGTCATTGTAAGGATTCGTTCAAAATGAACGAATCGTTCACGAACGACACATCACTAATTTAGAGGGTGCACCACACACGCGGAGCGGTCCGGATAACTTTACTACAGCAGAGTATTGATGACTGCTAGCAGTTGCAATTTTGGGGACATTAGAGATTCATTGATTAGAGACCGGCTTGTGTGCGGTACAAATAGCTCAGCGCTGAGGGAGAGATTACTCAGGGAAGAGAAGCTGACTCTTGATACATGCCTGCACATCTGTAGAGCTACAGAGCTGCCTAGGGAGAATTGCAGAACACTGAAAGGACAGACAGTGGAGGAGATACATGCACTAAAACAGACGGAAGGAAGGAAAGAAGACAATGAGATACTGTGCAATTTTTGTGGTAGAACACACGAGAGGAATAAGAAAAAATGCCCAGCTTTTGAAAGAAAATGTAAGAAGTGTGGAAAGGAAAATCATTTTGCTGCACAGTGCAGATCAAGCTGAACGTGGACAAATTCAAGCTTAGGCAGAAGGAGGTACCCTACATAGGTCATCTGCTCACGGCCGATGGACTGAGGATTGACCCGGAGAAAGTGTGGGCAATCAGAGGGATGCCAAGGCCTATATTTCTAAATTCTATGATCACCTCTCGGATGACTGAGATTCTGAGACAACTCACGCGCAAGGAGAACATGTGGGAATGGACAGACATCCAAGAAGGGGCGTTTCAACGGCTGAAAGACAAAATTGCGAAAGCACCAGTCCTACAATACTACAACAAGGAAGAGGAGTTGACACTTCAGTGTGACGCATCGGACACAGGACTGAGGGCCGCCCTGACACAGAAAGGTAAACCGGTAGCATTTGGCAGTAGGGCACTCACACCAACTGAAAAGGGCTATGCCCAAATAGAGAAGGAATGTTTAGCCATTGTGTTTGGGATGGAAAAGTTCCATCAGTATACTTATGGTAGAGAGGTCACAGTACAGAGTGACCACAAGCCTCTAGAGAATATACACAGCAAGCCCCTACTTAGTGCACCTAAGAGACTGCAGATAATGTTACTCAGGCTACAGCAGTATGATATTATTGTGACCTATGTTCCAGGCAGGGATATGTTGCTTGCAGACACGCTGAGCAGAGCATACTTACCAGAGAGCACTAGGGGAGAGAGTGAGACAGATATAGAGACTGTAAACATGGTTGGCTACCTACCCATTTCAGCAGAGAGGCTGAGTGCCATCAGGGCTGCAACAAAAGACGACACAAAGTTAGAGTGTGGCAAATAGAATACTGTCAGGGTGGCCCAAGAGAAAACAGGACTTACCAAGTGACATCAGGCACTACCACACCTTCCAAGATGAGTTTCCAGGATGACATAGTGTTCCGAGGGGACAGAGCCGCGATACCTGACGCATTCAGGGTGGACATCACTCACAGGATCCACTCCTCTCACCTGGGAGTAGAGGGATGTCTGAGGCGAGCGAGGGAGTGTGTATACTGGCTTGGAATGAATGAGGAGATCAAGACTTTTATCTCCAAATGTGACATATGTAGGTCAGTGGACCCAAAGCAACAAAGAGAGACACTACACCCACATGACATGGCAAGCAGACCCTGGGCCAAGGGAGGAAAGACCTTTTCTCCTTTCACAATAAAGACTATCTGATAACAGTAGACTATTTTTCAAACTTTTGGGAGGTTGATTATCTACGTGACACGAAGAGTAACACAGTGATCAAGAAACTCAAGGCCCACTTTTACGACAAGGGATTCCGGACATTGTTATCTCAGATAACGGACCCCAATATGCATCACTAGAGTTTCAGCACTTCTGTCAAGGATGCGTGGAGGAGGCAGGACTCAAACGCAGACTTCTTGGAAAGCAAAAGACTTTAATTGTCAAAAAGGCAAAAGCAAAAGGCAAAAACACACAGGAACCAGGGGAAAAACGGCAGACGGGAAACACGCACATCCACGACGAAAGACAATGACGCGACAAGTGACACAAGAGACACACGGCTTAAATACACAAGGGAGGTGCAGGTGATTGGTCACAGGTGGAAACTATTAGACATCACAGGGGATGACAGGACAAGGCAGGAAGTGAAGTTACCCGGGGACACGAGTGGCAGAAAACTACAAAATAAGACAGGAAGTGAACCACACCGTGACAACTTCAGCCGAAAGTGGGACTTTGAACACAGGACATCGTTGCCAGGATACCCGCAGAGTAACAGGAAAGCGGAGTCAGCGGTGAAGACAGCCAAGCGCCTGATGCTGAAGGCTTCAGCAGCACGACAGGATCCGTACTTGGCCATGCTGGATCATCGCAACACGCCGAGCCAGGGCCGCATCACAGAGACTCCTGAGCAGGAGGACCAGGACCCTGCTTCCCACGAAGGTCACTCTGCTGAAGCCAGAGGTAACACACAACAAACGGGGACTGGAAAACAACAGACGGAGACAGGAAAAGTACTACAACCGCGCAGCAAAAGACATGGACACTCTGGAGAGACGGGACAATGTGAGAATACAACCCTGTGGCACACACGGGGGCTGGAGACCAGCGAAGGTGGTCCGACAGGTGAGCCATAGATCATATGAGGTGGAGTTGGAGTCAGGTGGTGTTGTGAGGCGTAATCGTCGCCACCTCAGACACAATCTCACCCGGCGCTCACTAACACAGAACACACCCACACCAACTGTGACTGAGGAGGCCGTAGTGCCAGGTGGCCCAGCAAACCGGGAGACGGTCACCAGGTCAGGTCAACAAGTTGTCAGGCCCCACTACCTGATGGACTATTCGCAGTGATTGGAGGATGGATTATGAAAGAAAAAATGTATATATAGAAATGGAATGTGTTGTTGTATACACTTGTTGCATTTGTGAAAAAACTGATGTTTTGAACACGTTGATTTGTTATTGTCTATGTTGTTAGATTGTTATTGCACTAGATATACATATATATATATATATATATATATATATATATATATACACTAGAATATCGAAGTCAGGGAAAGAGACTAACTTGAAAAAAGAAAAAGAAAGATGTAACAATAGGATCGTTTATTGTAGTACTGTTGTAGGGGGGACGGATTTAGAGGGTGCACCACACACACGGAGCGGCCCGGATAACTGTATTACAGCAGAGTATTGGTGACTGCATACCAATAAAGTTCAAGTAACTTTTTTAACTTATATAACTTATTTATAATGCAATGTTTGAGTCATTCAACGTACAAAGCTTCTCTTAGTAACAATAAAATAAAATGGACCTCTCTTCAGACAAATCATCTTGTTAAAGGCAAAGTACATTCAGCTCGCATACAATAATTTCGGAACCTACGCCAGGATCCTGTTTGTGGGCTTCAGCTCTGCCTTCAACACCATCATCCCGTCTCTGCTGCAGGATAAACTCTCCCAGCTGCACGTGCCCGACTCACAGACTTCCTGTCTGACAGGAAACGGCACGTGAAGCTGGGGAAACATGTCTCAGCCTTTCGGACCATCAGCACCGGTTCCCCCCAAGGCTGCGTTCTATCCCCTCTGCTCTTCTCCCTGTACACCAACAGCTGCACCTCCAGTCACCAGTCCGTCAAGCTCCTGAAGTTTGGGGATGACACCAACCTCATTGGACTGATCTCTGGTGGGGATGAGTCCGCCTACAGGTGGGAGTCTGACCATCTGGTGTCGTGGTGCAGCCAGAACAACCTGGAGCTCAACGCTCTAAAGACAGTGGAGATGGTTGTGGATTTCGGGCGGAACAGAGCTCCACCTTCCCCCATTACTCTGTGTGACTCCCCCGTCACTATTGTGGACTCTTCTGTTTCCTGGGCTCCATCATCACCCAGGACCTCAAGTGGGAGCTGAACATCAGCTCCATCACAAAGAAGGCTCAGCAGAGGTTGTTCTTCCTGAGGCCTCTGAAGCAAGCCAAAAAGATCGTAGCCGACCCCTCTCACCCCGGACACAAACTGTTTGTGCCCCTTCCATCTGACAGGAGGTTGAGGTCCATCAGGACTAACACCTCCCGCCACACGAACAGTTTCTTCCCGTCGGCAGTCGGGCTCATCAACAAAGCCCGGTCCCCCAATGACTGACTATAACATTCACTCTGCTTCATACTGCACGTCACTTTAACTGTCATTTTTCACTTTGTCGTCACTTGTCACTTTGTTACTTGTTCGCTAGTGCACTTTATGCTTAATACTTTTTTAATATTTTAAATTTTTAACTCTAACTTTATTCTCTTGTTTTATACTAATCCATAGCCTTATTCTACTAACCCATTGCATTAGCATTTCATTTTACCTTATTTTATTACTTGTGCACTGCTGCCTTGTTGTCTATTGTTACACTGTCTACTGTCACGCACCAACCGCCAAGACAAATTCCTTGTATGTTTGACATACAGTATTTTGGCAATAAATGTTTCCTGATTCCTAAATAAGGCATTGTCAATTTTCTCATTTATACGATGTGTATTTATCAGTCTTTGTCAGAATTTTTGAAGAAGATGACGTACCCTGCCTTTATTTAAAGCACCAGTGACGTTTACCGACATTGAAACACTGCCATATTCTTTAAATACGTTTCACAATAGTGTCAGTCAGCTAATCTCAGCCTTCGTTTTGCCTGTAAATCAGGTTTGTTCAGATAGAAAGAACTGGGAGTGGTGCATTGTTCGCTTTGCCTAAGAAATTCTCTTTTTACTCAAACACTGCCAGACAGGTTGATGAGCATGGTTTTGTAGACGTTTAAAGGTTTGAGTCTCCTGATAAATTACAGGTTGCCAATAGCACAGTGTTCATGAGCAGCAGAGTGGAACGATCAACAAACAGAATTGAAAATAGAAAACAATTTGAATGTTTTTAATATGGTTTCAAGAGAAGCAGCATTGCTCATACACCTAGCAGTCGTGTAGGTCCACTTGTACTGTGTGTATGTATCTTCTTGTTGTTTTTTACATGTTTAAATTATTTATTTATTTTTCTTTAAAAAAGCCTCCCGTGGACGGGTGTTGTAAGTTATCATTTCACCACAAAGACTAAAAATGCATCTGGACATTGTGCACAACTGTACAACTGTATATCACAGCTCTAATGCCGCTGTCATGTCCAGAAACTCTCATTTTACTGGAGCATGTCTGAAAGTCCTCTTTCGTGATCTGCGGTGCTTCCTTCCGGCATGGACCTTTTATAGGTTTTGGCTCCCAACGGGGACCGGCAAAGATGTGCTTTTGACTGAAAATGTCCCAGTGTTGCCATTTATTCTTTTTGATTTGTTTTTTTTATCGTTTTTTTGATTTTGAGACACCATCATAATTAAACATTTGTTTTTAATGATACTTAGGTCAATATTATTTTGTTTAGAATCCTGAGTCATATAAAACCAGTGATGTTTTTTTGCATTGTTTACTATTTTACACAGTTTAAAATAATTTATTTATCATTATTTATAATTCAAAGAAAGCCAGATAATAAATAATAATTAATAATAATTGGTCAATCCAGCTCTATTGACAAACTTCAAAGAAATGTCAACATCTAATTAATAAGCCACTGTCCGCCTGCGGTCCTGAGAAACGATTAATGTTTCCTGCAGGCAAAAAAAAGATCATGTAAGAGGGATATGATGTGAATATCATTACATAAACAATATGTGTCTATTATCGTGTTTGCACATAATAATTAGAATTAGATCATTGTGCAATTGGAACAGCACCTTACTTGATGACGTCACCACGTCAGCTAGTCTTACAAATGAATTTAACAGTTCTTGAGTAGTTAAGTAGTTTTATTATAAAACCGGATGACAACACTTATTTTTTCTGTCCTTTGTGCTCTATAATAAATGTTCCCCTTACATGACTATTATGGTTGATGTTTATTGTTATTAACTTGACCATAAATATTAAAGCTTTAAGCGAAACACAATGGAGGGCGTGGGTGCTTTAATGACAGCTGAGTTTTCAGGTGCTCGCAACCAGCTGGTCTGCTCTGCTGCATGATCATGTTGGTCATGATGATCAGCAAAGTTCTCACAAGAAAATACGTTTTCCATAAGTATGAATCAAATTTTAAAAATCTGAAACAATGGTTTCAACGTATACCCAAAAGATAGAGATAACTCAAATGAAAATATTTAAAACACGTAATGCGGTGGAATACATGTTTTTCTGCCATGTTGAAGGAACTGTTCCAAATACCACATTCCGTTAAAGTGAGCAGTAAAAAACAGTGGTTCATTTAACTTTTACTATGTCACAAACCACACTGACTTTAATCCTGGAGCTGAAACTTAATGAGTGAGTAGATGATGTACAAACACATTTGGTGTGATGGCTCCTTGTGTTGATGAATATGGACGAGATGATTTGTTTGGTTGTCCAGCGGTCGGTCTACCCGCCATTCAGGTTCTTTCTATGGGTCTGTTTTTCTATCTCCTGTCCTCAATCCTCAAATCATCCTTTCAGAATATTTTTGTGTGAATACAATTAAATAAACAATATTTTTGTGGCCTATTTATACTTGCCTTATCACCAATACGCATAACACAGCTTGCATCGTAGGTATTTCCAATCCTGGCATCCATATCGTACCAAGGTTACTTGTTTTTATTCCAACAATAATAGTGCATTTAACATTAAAAAATCTGTATTTTAAAAAGAAAAAGAACACATACATGTTAAACATTTATCAAATAGGATCATTTCAAAGAGGATTGTATTGACAAAAAGTACAAAAATAATTGAGTTTTATAATAAGAATATAAGGGAAGACTATTAAGATGATACTGGCATCAAAGTTGTGCCAACATTCCCACTCTATTACCACACACTAGAGATCTATAGAACTTTTTT